TGTAATTAGTCACTTCCGGCAATTGTCAAGTGGGCAGCCTGTCGTCCTCCAAAAACCAAAAAAAAATAGGTCGATTGTTAAGCAGCTTATTATGACCTATAGTCACATTTTAAAGTGTAGCACCTCTAGTGGTCGTGTAAGAAACAACAATTTGCGGCAATTGCAAATGTTCCCGAGGGTCGTATATTCACAAATAACCCTCCCTGGAAAATCCTAAATTGTAGAATAGTTTGGCCAATAAAATGCTTTTTGATTAGATTTCTAGCGAGAAGTGTATATTGTACTTTTAGAATCCAGGTCCAGTGGATGTGTAGGATCTATAGTTTGATAGATGGCGAAGATGATTTCAGGTCTCGCCAGGAGAATGTGTATATACTACGTCTTTCCCTTATTAATTTCTATTGACGGCAGCGTCCATGTAAAGTTAGCGTCAACCCTCACGGGGTGAAAACAGTATTTCCGGTCTCAAAGTTTTCATAGTAAAACCGGAAGTATTCCCCTCACTGTCAAATTATTTTACAGTGATATCTGCCGTACTCATCCACTAAAAAACTACTAAGTTTATCCTTGTTAATTACACAACATTGATTGGTTTAAATTGTGTACAATGCTTTTTTGTTTTTAACCTTTGATTCGGAGAAACAAATAGATTTTTGTGAGTTTAGCATGGACGAAGACACTACACTACCCATAATCCTCAGCTATCGTTTGGGACTACAACATCCGCTTTGCTTGACAAACCCCGTGATTAGTTCTCAAGCTCTGTGATTGGATGTTGGAATGCGCCAAGGTTACGCCGAGCTCTTTGAAATGAAATGAATCCACGGCAGACTATCCAAAACTGGACTCAAACGGGTTATTTAACAGCTGGTCTTATGTCTGTGACCCAGAATCCTGCACGGGTCTGATTTTCAAGACCTGCTCCCGACCCGCACCCGCAACGCGCAATACCGAACCCGCCCGGGCACCCGCACATATTGGCAATTAGTTTCGCAAACCGACCCGACCCGTCGGCACAAGATCCGCAAACCGAACCGAGCCCGCATATCCTATGAGCAGTGAAAACGTGCAATTATTAACACACGCAGTTGCATATTTGGCTCAAAAAGCGTGGGATGTTGGTTATTTTCTCCATCTAGGATGACACCAAAAGCCTCCCAGACGTTGGATTTCGCTCTTGAGGAAGTGTTATTGACAATGCTGTATTCTCCGAGCTCCGCCTTCACCTCTGCCATTTTCATGCCACTATTGTTACTTTGTAATTCCATTCCACTACAATTCAGAGGTTAACCAGGTATCTTTACTCCACTACATTTACTTTAGTTACTTTGCAGATTCTGATTAATGATGTGAAATATAAACAACTCTTAAAGCAGACTTTAGTTACACCTGAGTCAAATTCAGGGAAGGTGATTGTCAAGTGCCAAAATAAACTATGCAATATATTAGACGTTAAGTACTTTGTCAGGCTTAATATTTATCTGTAGATACCCCCAACATTTTTTTCTTATTCAAAAGAAGACCTTAACTTAAACTATACTTTAATGTTTAAATAAAGCCTTATTAGTTTGTCTGTTTTGCACATCCTCCTATTAATATCTTTGGACGTCCTCCACTAAACTGTTTTATTGTAGAGATGACTACAGTATCTTCTTGATATTTTCTATTCGATATTTCTATCATGCCTTCTACTTTCCCCCAATTTTGTATGTAGGCTACTCTTAATATTTAACTGTTTTCATCAAATATAACATATTCAATAAAAAAATTAAATAACGTGCTTTAACCACTAGCACTACTAGAGCTGACGCCGACCATGCAGAGGAACTAAACCACTTCTTTGCCCGATTTGAGGCTAGCAGACCCCCCCAGTTTTCTACTCTGTCCCTGTCTCTGCAAACTACCAGCTCCATACCACCCCCCACTCTCAAAGAACATCAGGTGAAGCAGACGCTGAGGTCTGTGAATCCTGGAAAAGCCGCAGGACCCGATGGAGTACTCGGCAAAGTACTCAAAGCTTGTGCTGACCAGCTTTCAGGGGCCCTGACCAGGATATTCAACCTGTCCCTGTCACAAGCTTGCATTCCATCCTGTCTGAAGACGGCTACCATCATTCCTGTCCCCAAAAAGACACCAGTCAGAGAGCTCAACGACTACAGGCCCATAGCCCTAACATCGGCGGTGATGAAATGTTTCGAAAGACTGATAGCCGACTACATCAAAGCCAGCCTCCCACCCTCCCTCGACCCTCATCAGTTTGCCTATAGAGCTAACAGATCCACGGATGATGCCATCGCCACGGTCCTTCACACAGCTGTGAGCCACCTAGAAGGCCCAGGCAACTATATAAGGATGCTGTTTGTCGATTTTAGCTCAGCTTTTAACACCATCATACCTGACATACTAGTGGAAAAACTGTCAAGCCTAGGTTTCCCCTCCATCTTATGCGCCTGGATAAATAATTTCCTTACAGACCGTCCTCAGACAGTGAAAATAGGCCCTTATTGCTCCTCCACCCGCACCCTCAGCACTGGCACCCCACAGGGCTGCGTGCTGAGCCTCTACTCTACACTCTCTACACACACGACTGCTCTCCCATTCACCCCTCCAACTCCATTATCAAATTTGCAGATGACACCACTGTGGTCGGCCAAATATATAAGGGAGACGACGAGTCGGCATACAGAGACGAGATCCTGAAGCTGTCTGCGTGGTGTTCAGCTAACAACCTACATCTGAACACAAGCAAAACAAAAGAAATCATCATAGACTTCAGAAAGCACCGTCCAGAACACGCCCCCCTTCACCTCAATGGAGAGAAAGTGGAGAGGGTCTCCACCTTTTAAGTTCCTGGGGGTTCACATTTCGGAGAGCCTCAGCTGGACAGCACACACCACTGCAGCAGTTAAGAAGGCCCAGCAGCGACTACACATCCTGAGGGTGCTTCGGAGGAACCGACTGAACAAGAAGCTGCTGGTGTCCTTCTACCGGGCGACCATCGAGAGCGTGCTGTCATACTCCATCTCGGGGTGGTATGCAGGATGCTCAGCTGCGGACAAGAAAGCCCTGCAGAGAGTGATCAGGATGGCAGAGAAAACCATTGGCTGCCCCTTGCCCTTTCTGGAACACATCTCCACCTCCCGCTGCCTCAGCAGAGCTAACAAAATAATAAAGGACAGCTCTCACCCAGGTCACAGACTGTTCTCTCTCCTGCCTTCTGGGAGAAGATACAGGAGCTTCAAGTCACGGACAAACAGACTCAAAAACAGTTTCTACCCCTGGGCCGTCAGGCTGCTCAACCACCACACTTAATGCAGTAACTGTAACCATTCTCACACATACACACACTTTTAATGCACTTTATATACTATTTTTATATCAATAATTTTAACTATTTATTCCCCCGTATGATTGTATGGTGTCTGTCCTATTGCCGTGTTTTTTAGTGTTATGTATTTGTTTGTATTTTTTGCACACCGGGACAGAGTTGCACTCTGAATCTCGTTATTCTCTGTGTATAATGACAATAAAAGGCTTTAACTTTAACTCCGATCTACAATGAAACTTGCAGGGACCCATTGTCTTTCTTCGGGACCGTAACCATCCCAATCCACGAGGAATTGTTTCCCTCGACCAACAATTCTTCTAAAGACCACGCGAGATTCGGCGGTGGCGGAGGCCTACCAACCTACGCACCAGGACAGATGTCACAATTCTTTGACGAACC